TATTATTAATTCACATACCAATACGGTGGGAACTCTATTAAAGGGACGCGATGACCAGGGCCTTTAAATAGAGGTGTCCCATTGAAAGAAGATTGGGCTGGGGTTTGTTAATAATTAACCAACAAATAAAATGTTTTTCTTTCATTCTACCTTGAAATCCTCTTCAGTCATTATCAAGGTAGCTGGATAATGTATTAAAAATCATGATTAACTTATCTCTACGATGTCGTTAGTTGAATTCCTACGAACACAATACATCGATTTAAGTGAGATGGTTCATAATTTGAAAGCTGTCGCCATATGACAAGAGAACATTTCTAAAAACTGTATCAACGATTATTGTGGTCAGTCACTTTTTGACCTTTTTGAGTGCTAAGGTGTTCCCTGAATGGAAGTTAAACCCGGGTTTCGGGACCCAGAAAAAGTGTTTCTTTCCCCTGAATAATAGTATCCCTTTCATAGAGGTAACAAATACAAAGATTCTGTGAACATTTTTCCGGGACCAAATTTGGGGTCCCCTGAATGGAGCTGTCCCTTGAAAAGAGGTGTCCCAAAGGAGAGGTTCCACTGTATTAAGTATCTGGAGGAGAAAATTGACTGTGTCCTCTGGTATTAAATATTTCTTAAGGCGACCGTTCGTTCAACTGAGTATGTGCAATTGGAGATCTAAGCTTTGTCTGCCATCGAAAACGTGATCACTGTCTGTCCAACAGTCGTTTTTTCTTTTTCAACGAGCGTGGAGGGCGGAGAACCAAACAAACAAACAAACAAAAGAAACTCACCCTTTTGCGTTAAGAGTCAACGAATTCGCCCCACTACCAGAGCTCGGGCATCATAAGGTGGACCGCACCCAGGCCTGGACCGAACCACTCGGCTTGTCCCGTCACGCACAGGAGTGTTGCGTGACGACACAAAGAACGTCTGGGTGATGCTCGATATACCAAGTCAATATATGCACTATTGCGTCGTTCTATTATGTGGTGTATATTGTGTTATTGTTGAAGGGTTAGGGATCGTTGTGTTCTTTGTGACGTATCTGGAGATCTGCTATTCACTTGGTATATTGTGCACCAGTCGAACGTCTGCTAGGGAGTCTACTTGCAGTGTAATAAATGCCTGCTCTTGGAATATCCATTGACAGGTAACTTGTCATCATTTTGACGTGTAGGCTTCGTAAAGATGTCGTGGTTAAAACAGAGCTTAAACAAACGTTTTGCATTATTTTTTAACCTCTTGTAAACAACCTCTTAAGCAAGGCATGTTCCCTTTGTTTGCTTTATGTCTTTCACCACTCAGACAGAGACCATACGGGGAACGTCAGTGACAACATGGAACAACACGTATAGTACGTAACTTCATGTAATAAATTCGGTACCAAAAATTCCCTTCCCTGACATATTTTCGTAAAAGACCAACTCTGGTTCGCTTCTCGTAAGCAACCACTAAATCTTCACATTTTGGGTGGTCGCTTTCGGGAGGTTCGACTGCGCAGGGAGCTTTAGCAACGACGACGGCGACGGCAACGAGAACGCCAAAAAAAGAAATGGGTTTGTTAAGCAAAGCAACAACTTTACACGTGCATTTCTTTGCCATCACTGCGCGACTACGACGTGAAAATCCCTGACTTTACGCTTTACGGAGGACGTAAACAAGCGGCGACGAATTTTGCTCTCTCTGTCTAAACTTGAGTCCGGTCCCCAAGAAATCAACTTCAGGGAAATTCGAATACATTTGATATTTTCAGCGGATTGGAATAAACTCGACAATGTTTGAAAAAACGCGAATGCTTTTCCAAAGTGACAATTTCGCTGCCGTCGCCGTCGTCGATGCTAAAGCTCCCTATTAATTACCAAGCTATTTACAACGTTTAGGTTGTCAATAACCTCTCTCATTGACATTCTATCAAAATTTAAATATGTCACAACACAGCCCGGAAATACAAGCCTGCAAGCACGCACTTGAATAAGGCGCCTTTGCTTGCCTCTGCTGTGAGTCAAATAAGGGTAGCGGTCGGTACGACTATAAAGTTTAAGTAATGAGTAAAAACGGACGAATGTTGACCAGTTTTCAAACGAGGAGGAATGATGAGACTGATGAGTTTGTGATTGTTCTAGACAATCTTGTTCCTGTGGCCGGGTTGACAATGAAACGACGGGGGGAGCGTACTTTCGCATCAGAACTTGATCGAGAATAGCCAGGGATTATCCGGGGGAGGGGGGGGGGGGAATCGCCCCTGGTCAGGAGGTGGGGGTGGGGATGTGTGTTGGTGTGTGGTGTTGTTGTGGCGTGTTGGCGGGGTGCGGGGGGTGTCAAGGCAAGGCGGGGGGCGGCGGTCTTCTGAGTAAGGAATGGGCCGGGGAAAGGCGGGGGGGGGGGGGGGGGGGGGGGGGGGGGAATCGACCCTGTTCGATTAAGACCGAAGGAAATATACCCCTCTTCCAAGGATAGAGGGTGATTTTTAAACTTTGCTCCAGAGCAGGAGAAGCAAAACGCATTCCCTGTTGAGCGGAACTATATTCATTTCGCTCCAATGTTAACCATAATATGCCACAATGGGTCTATTTCGAGGGCTAATTGCTTCATTAAGCAAAGAGCTCGGTACCGCTCATAAATGGGTGTACCCCATCCGCAGGAAACTTGTTGCCTCCTATTTGTCAATTGGACTCCCAGTCGAGCGGAGAGGTTTGTAAACGAGCTAAGGCAACTAAATGCACTTCCACCATAAGGAAAGTTCTTCAAAAGCTCTAATGTCAATGGACTCCTATATGCCGCAGTCCTTTTTGCTGTGGGGCAAGGTTTCATTGTTTTTTTGTTTTCCCAACTAATCCTGTGAGGTCTGTGAGGCCATGATACAGCAGCTGCGAGGCGCCCAAAAGAAAACATCTACATTGTATTTTTTTGCTGTATTTTTGACTGCATGCGGCGTACCACATGAATATATAAATCGGAAGTGTAGGGAACTATAAGAGGATGAGACGATCAGGAACCAATCACATGAAGACAAGTTCTTACGTGAATTTTGCTCCTTGTATGGTTCTTTGTCTGAGGATCCAGGAATATCAAAATAGAATAATACGGCTCACGTTCACAAAGAAAACTGGAGGACATCTGTGCCTCCCTTTTTGAGCCTACAAATATACGACTACTACAACCGTCAAACCATCTTTGATCTACCTCTTTTGGAATATTGCTTGTAGTTTCAAACCCCATTTCGTTATATATATAACTTAATCAATTTCGTTGTAAATAAAACTTTTGATTCACTTTTGGAAGTAGGCTTTGAAAACTCTTGGTTACTCCAACTCCCTCCACTAAAATCGACGAGCGCGAGCAAGAACCTATCCGCTACCCCCTTGCAGGTCCCCGCGGTTTTGATTTTATACGCGCGCTTGAAGGGTTTTTAATAGAAATGAGACGGTCTGTGAACAAGCTACATAGCCTGTCCAATGAATTGTCAATACTCATTGTTTTTCATAGACTTCTGTATTTCCATTAAAAAGTGAAATAAAAATGACTTCGATTTTTTTTAATGTTCGGGGTTAAACTGTCATGTCATTACTGGCTTGCGCCACCCACTGATGTTGTGTTGTGAAATGTCATGGAAACTAATTGGCTCTATATACAATGTACGTTATAAACTTTATCTGATGGCATATATTAAACTCTTTAAGAACAACTTAGAAATATCTGACTAGTCATGGAGACACACAATGGTTATTGTTTATCACAGTTCAACTACTTCACTGAATTTTCTTTTCATGTAGATTGCAGCACAACGGAAACTCCCCTCCTTTGAAAATAACAGTCTGGCAAAATTGCAAGATCACTAAAAAAGGAAATCAACCATTAAAGATCATACGATAGCTAAACAATAGGAATATCAAAATAGCTTGTGGTGAATAAAGATAACTCCATGAAAAGGACGAAGAGAAGAACTTGGTCCTTTATGTCATTCGTATCCATAACTTTTTTGTCTGTTTCTTTCTGCGTTCACATGGTTGGGGGTGTCATGGAGTACCCCTCGCTTGCTAAGGGAGCGATCTACTGTGTCGTTACCACTACATCCTCGTATTTTGGTGGTGGACAATAGAAGAGAGAGCCGTATGAAGGCGGCGGTGCTTCTTCCAAAGCCGAATCTTGTTCACTTGTTGCACTTAGATGGAATCCCCGAAGTAAAGTGTCATTTGTAGGAGACGATATAATGCTTACAGTGCTGGAGGGATTTGGTAGAGTCAAAATGGGATATTCGTTCACTTGTTCAGATCGTTGTTCTGTCCTCTGTGAAGCAGGTGTCGAGTTTGCTATTATTCCTGAATCTGTGTTGATAGGAATTTCGACTGCTGTGTTTATTTCGCCGTGTTGAGTGTATGTTCCCGAGCCCACGCTACTTTGCTTGACTTTCAAACAACGAAAGATCCGTCTGCGAAAAATGCACGCCATTATCACCAACAGGGAGAACAGGAAACCGATCGGTACAGGCCAAATGGAGTTGAACAACGAACCAAGCATAAAGCTGATAAAGTCGCTCTTTTACGCTCGCACTGCCGTAAGGAGGATCAATGTCCTTCTGTCAACTAATCCACGAGGTTTGCAAAAAAATACAGCAGATAATACGGAAGTCTTGAAACTGCAGACAAATAACGACTGACGTAGCGAGGTCGAAGTCTCAGTTTTAAGTAAAAAGTAACCATTTGATATTGATTTCGCCTATATTTTTGCCGCACATATGTCACAATGGTGCTATTTTGAGGTCTAATTGCTTCATTAAGCAAAGAGGTCTGGGCGTCATGATTAAGCACTTTTGTTGATTTGAATGCATCACAATTCCACGAATATTACTTATCCAAACAGCTGTGTGGACCCATTAAAGGAATAACGACACTTCAACTCACGAGGTTATCGAAAAAAAACGTGTAACAACATACCCCATCCAATAATGCGGAAATGAAACAGTGTAGGCCACCAGTAAAGAGAAAATTTTACTTTGACTTAGAACCATCAAATAAAATTCTGCCCTGTTTTGATTATCCATTCTTCAAGTCCACGTGGTTCAATCTAAATGCAAATGTCACTTCAGCCAAAATCAAGTATAATATCAAGAATATCACGAAAACGAAAACAAGTTTGCCCAACTGTGATATCAATTCACGTCAACATTGAATATATTTTCATTTTTGCAACCTTAAATTAGAATGAAGATACTAAGTAGACAGGAAGAGGGTTTTTCAAAACACCCTTAATTCGAGTGAGCAGATGAACAACAACCAAGGGAGTTTTGGAAACCGTATTTATATCTGTGGTAATGTAATATTGTTGTTTTTGAGTTTGTTCAAACACCTCAACGGCGACGGATCACGAGAGACCTTGAAGGTTACCAACTTTGAAAGACCTCGTGTCGCTCATAGAAGCTATTTAGTTTGAAAGGCGTAGATAAAACGGAAGAGCAAAGTGCACTTCGTTATACTTGAAAATCGCACTAATTTGATTTACAATATGCGCACAAGACAAACCGATGAAAAGATTTAACCCTTCAGCCCTAAAAGTGATCAGCGTCAAATTTCTCTTTGTAATATCACTGCTTTATAAAACAGAGTGGTCACGAGAATTAAGGACGTGATCACACAAGATGAATCTAATTGATACTTCAACAAATTCCCCCCACTCCTTCTATCGAAAACGCATAGGGATAACAAATGAGAATCTCAATTTTGATGTTGGGTTTTAAACGGTTAAGGGGCTATGTCACAAGGATACTGCTGTTTTAGGTCAATTCTGTGCTTTACTTAGTACCTTTACCTCACACAAAATGCCAAAAAGTTGGCCCAATTTCCATGTCCATCCTTGCCATCCGTCGCGACAGACGGCAGGAAACCGTTGAATGCCTTAATATAGTCTTAAATAACGAAACTGGAGCATTATTTTTGGAATTCAATTGCTGCGAAGAGATAGAAGGAAACCATTCATATGCTCTGCCGTATGATAGACAGCTGTCACTACAAGCAGTCAATAATCGAACGAACAGAGCGAACCCTTCAACTCTTGTTTTGCAACCACAAGGCAGCCATGTTGGTTGACAAAACAATTTTCTTTAGCATATTTTTTTCGCATTGATATGCATGAAAAAAACGGATTTGTTCACAATTTACAAAAAGTTTCCGGAAAATCCGGTTGGAAAGTAAATGGAACACGACTTCTCGGGTCATTCCAGCGGAAAATTTCCCGAAGCAACGGAACACCTGAAAAGGTAGTCCTGTTTTTCCGGACGGACTGTTGGAAACTAAAATTCGAGTTCCATTTCTTCAAGGCCATCTTTGATACCAGTTTCAGGCCTTCACTGCCCGTTTTTGGTAAATGGAACTGAATTGTACGATGATAGAGGCGATTCCGGGATGAAATTTACCAGTCCCGAATTTTGCTTACCATTGACCCAAACCGTGAACCGACCAGTTTGCCCGGGTAAATGATAAACAACCAGGGTTTTGGCGCTGGGGAACGCTTTTGTTTTTATTGACCAACATGGCCGCCGTGACGTCAGCAGTCCCCATTAGAGAGTTTTAGATCCGAGTTTACTGCGAACCTCTAACCGCTGGAGGTCACGTGACAAGTCTTTCGCGTCACGTTTGAGGTTTACGACGGCGTTTTCAACGTGGGAAGGAAGGTTTTCACGTATGTCATTTACCTGAAAGCTTTTAGCGTATAATTCTTGTTTTATCCCACGTAATGATACAAAAATCTTGTGGAGCAAGTCTTTATCCATTAACAGAGGCACAAATTCGGGAAAAATGCTCAATTTGATAAATCCTATTTGATCTTGAAAACAAGTGCCATTCATGGCTGCTGATTCAAAATGGCGGCCGTAATCTAATCCACCACCAATCTAAATCGAATTATGTTTGAACGTCGAACCGCAAACGGGTAACCGCAAACCGTAGTTAGAGGTTCGCGGTAAACTCGAATCTAAAACTCTCTAATATCAAAATGCCAACATCAATTTTCTCCTAATGATATCAGTCCAGCATCAAAAGAAGAGTAAAAAGAATTGACAAAATGACCACCAAAGAGAAATCAATAAATTCTTTCAAATAATTCGTAAGGGAAATGTACGGAGAATTTATAGGTGGATCTTGGGGATAAAAGGAACTGTGGCTCTTCTCTTATGATCACAGTGATGAGAAGTAAGGTTGTAAAAATATCAAGGGAATTCATACCACTCATTATTAGGAGACTAGGTAGGTTAAAAATTCTTAAATCGTTATTTATTGGAAAATTCTTTCTGTACAATTCTTTTAAATTAATTAATTGAATTTCAAATTGAATTTCTGTTCTTCACAAATGAAGAAATTGTATTTACAGTATTCGGCGTTTGATTGAAATGAATTCGTAAATGGTCCTCAATTTTCTGAAGCATTAAAATTGTGCTTAATTGTCGATTATGAATGTAAAAACACTCCCATCGTAAACTTACCAGAATTTTACCAAATGGAGTGGGAACTGGGCTTAGCATAACAACCCTTTTCAATACAGCGCCTAGCCTGTGTACTGCGCGCCCTCCGCGGCGGCCGTGCACAGGCCATCCAGCGCCCCGTCCGAAATCAATTTTGACGAGAAGCTAAAAAAAATTAGTGCAAAATGTCAACTGCTCGTCTAGTTGGAGCACCTTTCTTGAAACTATTCCTAGTTAATAACTTTCACTAGAGTATTAGGGGCACTTCAGCAACGACGAAGGCGACGGCAGCGAAAAAACTTCCCTACAGTTGAAATTCCATTAAGCGGTCACCCTCAAAGTCGAAATAATAGTAGAAAAGAACGGCAAATGGAACATCTATTAAGCGGCCAGCTTTTGGCTGTCCCAATGAGAGTCCTCTCATTGTTGTCATCTCTATTAAGCGGCCATCAAGAGCTCGATACACTCAGTCTAGCATCATTTTAAGAATACGATGAAGTAAAATACAGTCTGAGATGGGTGACGACCGATTGTGGACTAGTAATGCTGCTCCCGTCGTGTGATTGTTTCAAAATGAAGTGATGTTTCTGCTAAGATCATTCTAATTTATGACGAACCGCTATTTAGCGGCCAACTCCCATTGAACAGCCACTAGCCGGTACCTTGAGGATGGCCTCTAAATGGAAGTTTAACTGTATTAAAAAGACTAAGCGTTTTTTTCCGGTGATTACTCCAACTCGCTTTATATTTTATTGAATTCTTGGGTATCGACACCAAGTTTAGAAGAAGAATAAAACAAAGGATCGTCGTCGTGAAATCACGTCCTTCATTAAATGCCACGTAAGGAAATTTTACGTCCAGTTGTGCAGTTACGGAGAAGAAATGTACAAAAAGTGTGATGCACGTGCAGAGCTGCTGTTTTGCTTATTAACCTACGACTTTTTTTGATGTCCTCGTTGCCGTTGCTAAAGCTCCCCATTAGCTCTAAAAGACGGACACCTTAAGATAGACACCTAGAGTTGGTCCTCGCCGTACTCATCTAATCGTTGACTCTCTGGATGTATCGCGGATACCACTAAAGATGGAGACTTGCTATTGGTGCTTGCCAATGCTTAGTCACAATGTTTGACTTTCTATAAGGCAGAGCCCTCTTTCAGTCCCAGTAATGTCCGTTTTAGGGAGACTTGACGGTACAGTCACTCCTATTGTCAGCGGAAACATGTTTGTGGTTCCAGCCACAAACGCAAGGCAGCGCTATATATTTAAACTCCCTTAAGTTAAAGGTACTTCTTTTAAGAGGAAAGTTGTTTATGGTCTAAAGAGTGCTCCATCAAGGCGGCGCAATTGAATCCTTACATAATTATATATTGCTTTACGAATGTTAAAACTTGTTTTTGTTTACGACAAATGTATTGAAAAGCCTCTTCAGCGTCGCGCGCTACTCAACCATGAAGATTATATTCTAGTTTCTGACCCCCTTTCCCCAAACTATTTCTTTTTCTTTGTACATCGATTCACGTGCACGTGGCAATAACTCAGTATGGATCTTGAAACGACTGGTCTGGTGTGACAAGGCCCGAAACCCGAGGCAGTAAACGACGAAGCTGAAATAGCTTTATGAAAAATGCAACAATATTACAATCAAACGCGTTATTAGCCTTTTATCAGCCTCTCTCCCACAGTACCGCAGTTCTTATGACTTTCGCGCATTGCCGTAACTCGTGCCTAGTGCTTTCTCTGCATTCCAAATAACAGCTCAAGACACCTGTGGACTAGGCCACTGTAAAAACTTAAGAAATCGTGGACTATTAACGATCCTAATGAAATTAGTTTTTACAGCCAGAAGGGGGGAATTCATATAAAACAACGGTAATTCAGAGTGCGCACAAGATAGTTTTGTACTACGAGATACTGGGGCAATGTTGGCTGGCAATACGAAAAAGATAGAATTGCGTAACTGCGTGACCACACCGGAACAAAAGAGAATTCAGAGCTCCTCTCTTGCCTGGAAGTACTAGGAAAGAGACTGTCACTAGACACGTCTATCTTCTTAAAGTTTTGTTCC